GGACCCAGCACTGATGGACCAAGCCCACGCACACCTGGTGTAAACTCGAAGTTTTATTTCTTTTTTGTCGATGCCAAGTCGGGGTTGCTTGGAACACTCAAGTTGGCCCACAATCGCCATCCAAAGATCAGCTGAACGCAGGGATCCTTACATTGTACACCTGAACATTGCCTTGTAAATGGTGGTGTCCGTTTAGTTTGGTGGAAAAAGCCATTTTTCAATTGGGCAAAATGTATCTTTTAAGGGGCCCTGCTACGAGTACGTAGTGGTGCCTTGCATCCGGAAAATGGAAGCCGAAAGGACACCACCCAGATGGCTCTGTTGTTTTTTTGTATTTTTTGGTACCCCTTTTTGGGCGTGCTTTAAAGGGAATCGAGCGAAACCAACAGGAACGCCAACATCTTGGGTGCTCCCAAAAAAAGACACGCCCACATATACCATCACTCCTCCTAACTCTACATTGATTAGGTCCTCCAGTAGAGAGGTTAGAATCAGGGTACCCTTTTTTCTGTAGTATATTTTGATAGGGGAACCCTGCCCCAAAAAAGGGCAAAAGGGCACTACTGAAGCACCTAGTTGAAGTCTTCCTGGGCATGGGAACCGGCAACTCGCTGCAAGCTGCAACCTGGTTACCTTCACCAGGTCACAAGGTACTTCTGGCAGCAATGCGGCCAATCTTTGATTCCAACAACACATTCTCCCCCATTTGGCTGTCGCAAAGCAGAGCTGTGGGGATAGCCCTTCAATCAAACGCGATGAACATCCGCGCAAGGACGCCGGAAAGAAGAAGACCTTTCGAAGTTGGTTCAAACATTGGTGCCCAACCTCATGGCACCAACTCAAGTTGTAGCAGGCACCACAGCCACGGCCGGGCTCAGTAGAGTGGCACAGAAGGCCCATTGCCTGACACCTGGACATGACCTTGGGAACCCAATTGACCCATTCAGGGGGTCCGACCCAGGGCCGGACCCCTATACTCTCCCTCGTCACACGGAAACTCACCTTGAATGGGCTACCGAAAGGTGATGTTTAAACCTCCCAAAGAGCAAGTACAGCTGAAAGCCCTTTTGGTTCGCCAACACCAAACTGTCCGTTTGCCACTAAAGTTGTCCGAACCCAGTGGCTACAGTCCAGGGCAGTGAGGTTTGGGTGTGTCTTTTCAAAGCTTGGACCCCCAAACTGGCTTCGGTCCTCGTGGATATGGGGGAATTCCCTTGGCGCCATTTCCCATCTCAAACTTTGTCAAGCTGCATCAAGCGGGAAATACCTCTCGTATCCCTGGTTCCCCCCGTATCCCTGCTGGTTGGTTTCCTTGACCCACAACCCTCCCCCCTTGGTTTCCCATTTAAAACCAGAGGGTGCCCTCCAAAAAGAAGACGAGCCACCGTGAGCCACCCATTTAAAACGGGTGACCCCCCACAACCCTCCCCGTTCCGACCATAGGTGTCCTTTTTGCGAAATAGATGGCCCTGGTAGATGATTGTTCAGAAGGTAAACCAGGAATCGCCCTCCATCTTTTAGCAACCGCCTGAAACTTGGCTTCCCATTCTTTACCAGGGGGCACCCTCCAAAAATAAGACGAGCCACCGTGAGCCACCCATTTAAAACGGGTGACCCCCCACAACCCTTCCCGTTCCGACCATAGGTGTCCTTTTTGCGAAATAGATGGCCCTGGTAGATGATTGTTCAGAAGGTAAACCAGGAATCGCCCTCCATCTGTTAGCAACCAAAAAGGACACCTATGGTTCCCCCGTTCCGCCTGAAACTTGGCTTCCCATTTAAAACCAGGGGGCACCCTCCAAAAATAAGACGAGCCACCGTGAGCCACCCATTTAAAACGGGTGACCCCCCACAACCCTCCCCGTTCCGACCATAGGTGTCCTTTTTGCGAATAGATGGCCCTGGTAGATGATTGTTCAGAAGGTAAACCAGGAATCGCCCTCCATCTGTTAGCAACCAAAAAGGACACCTATGGTTCCCCCGTTCCGCCTGAAACTTGGCTTCCCATTTAAAACCAGGGGGCAGCCTCCAAAAATAAGACGAGCCACCGTGAGCCACCCCTTAAAAAACGGGGTGAGCCCCCACAAGCCTCCCCCAACCGCTGTTCCGCTCCTTGCCCTTGTACACAAAGGCCTCCGCAGCCATCGGCGTGCTCGCAATCACCGCGGCGCCAGCCACCGCTGCGCTGGGAGCCTCTACCCGGCTCGGGGCCTGCAGGGCTTCAGCGAAACCGCCGGCTCGAAACCTGGTCCAAACCCAGTGGTTAAGAGCCAAGTGAGCGACTCTATAAACCTCCCATGAATCCCTATGTCGTATCAAGTTGCTTACGCGCAAGCTTGCGCTTTCCTTACGCGACCCATGTTTTAGCTTACGCGGCAGTCAGACAGCATGTAAAGCTTACGCATCGCTTACGCGTCGGCGTTTTGAGCGTTTCCCCTCAAGAATTGCTTACGCGGGCTTCTTTTCCCGTGCAGCCGCCAGAACTGTTGAAGATGATGTGGATGACTGTGTGGAAGAGATGACGAAGAACTGCGCTCGCGAGCTTCAGCAGCTTGGCGTTGTTGTTTTTGTTGCAAATCAAGAAACCCGTTTTTTGCGGTAGCGGCATCCATCACGAGGGCTAGCGGGCAGCTGAGCTAGGCGAGCTTACGCGAACCTTACGCGCCTGCTTACGCGAGCTTACGCGCCCGCGCCCCTGTAGTTTTCCTAAATCAGCGGCTACTGAAGCCTTTGTTTGTCCTAGTGGAGGTTGCGACAGCACCTAGCATGAGCCCCAAGAGCTCCCAATCAAAGTTCTGTTTGTTGTTTTTTTCCCCTAATGGTGCGCACATGCGGTCTTAGACGTCTTCCTGCAGGCAAAGTCCTCCGGGCAAGTTGCCAAGCTCGGCTAGGTTGCAACAGCACAAGCCACCAAAAAACGCATAAGCACATGTGGGACAACTCTTCCGAGCATGTTACAAAGCTTACCAAGCAATGACGAAGAAGAGCTTACGCAGGTGCTTACGCAACATGTTTCCCCAAAAGTGCTTACGCCCGCTTGCGCCGTGCAGGCTTTTGCTTACGCGGGGCCTTGTTATGACACAACTCTTGCTTGGCATGTAACGGGGGGTTTTTAGAGCTGCTCAAGTGTTTTTTGTTGTTGTTTTTTTTCTATGATCTTTAAACCATGCTCGAAACCATTCCCAACAAAGACATGAAAGCTTAAATCATGTTTTTACACCAACCCCTATGATCTTTCTCCAAACATCCTTCTCCCTGTACAAAGCCCTGGCCACCCAAAAGCTCGGCCTGCACGAAGGCAAGGTTGGGCAGGAGCCAGAAGAAAGCCGCGGCAGCCTGAGTCCAAGAAAACATGGCTGTGGCTCCTGACCTGCCCTCAGATCCCCCGCTCAAAGGTTTTTTTTTTTTTTTTACTTAAGTGGGTTAAATGGAAACTACCACTAAACACTAAAAGCCTAAAAGGCCAAGGGGATGGCTGGGAGCCACCAAGGTTCCTGTTTTAAGTTGGACCCCCCACAATGGCTGCGGTGTTCCTGCTGACTTCCCTGTAAAAATAAGCCCAACTAATATCTGCCAACAGCCAGGAACACGCTGGAACCGAATCTCCGGAACCGTCCCTGAAAGACGCCCTAAACCACACCAGAGCTTATTTGGGCGAAGATTAAAAGGGAAAACCCTAGAACCGAATGTCTGGAACCGTCCCTGAAAGCAGCCCTAAACCACCCCAGAGCTTATTTGAGCGAAGATGCAGCGGTTGGGGAAAAAATGCAAAAAAGGGCAGGCCCTCGAACAAAGACAGACCCATGATTGAAACAATATGGCTAGGTTGTTGAATGAGGAAACCGTCCCCAATGGTTGGTGGACACAATCCCGACCTAAATGATGTCCACCAGAGGGTCCCCAGCTAAACTTAGCAGCCATATCTGACCACTTCGATCTTGTCAAACAAATGCCTTTGGATGAATGGTCAATTGGGCTGCAACAGTGGAATCTATTCACTGTCCCGTCTATCCACACCCGGAGTCCAAGAGCGCTCAAATTGAATTCCTACTATAAGCATGGGAACATCATTGAGCCCCCCCATGAAACCTCCAACAATGGCAACAGACAGAAAATGGGCTCTTTCTTGCTGCGTATCGCGTTTCGGGTTGCCTGAAAGGAAAACCAAAGTGAACACATAATCTTGGGATATCTTGGGGGTCCCCCTATTTTAGGACACCTCCATGTTTTGACCGAACCCGCATAAAACCCCCCGGTCTGGACAAGGCGCAAGGACGCACACACCAGCACGGGCCATGGCTACAATTTGCGAGGGCGTGAGCGGAAGGAGCGACTGCGAGCCAAAGGGAGGCGACTGCGCGGAGGGTGTGGATGCTCCAAATCCTGCGCCAAACGTTTGATAAAGCCTTGTGAATCTTATGAGTGCTCGTTGGTGAACGACCCAAAGTGCAAACCCTATTTGGAATCCTCCATTTGCAAAACAAAAAGTCCCCTGCAAAAAATGACATTTCCAGCAGCGATAGATTCCCTCTACAACCAACAGGGGAAAATAATATATATATATATATAGATATTAAACTATGATAAAAGTAAAAACAAAAAACATATTCTTAAGCAAATGGAAGGAATGGTTGCATTTCACGGATTTCCCTTTTACCTCAGAGGATGAGACCTACCAACTGGGTGCAAGTGTTGCTTGAAAGGTGGGGCAAACGGCCCCGTTCCCAGGAGAATTTGGGGAACCCGGAGAGGACCTGGAGAAAAATCGCTCCGCTCCGATAGCTGAAGCCGCGCCGTGTGCCCATCGCAAAGTTCGGGTGAACCAAGCGCCTGGATCAATTACACTTGAAGAGGCTGGGTACCTGGTGCAAGTAACCATGGTTCTAACCAACTAGATGACTTACAATCATAATAAGCAGACTTTTGGTAGGCCTTAAAAAGAAACACCCTAATAGACCCCGCACGTCTCTGACAACGAGGGGCGTCGCCACGTCTCCGGCCTCAGGCAGAAGCTGCTCCCGGCCAAGAAGCGGCGGGAGTTCAGGTGCAGAAAGGGCACCGCGTAGAGCCCGGCCTATGTCCCGGTCACCCGAGCTGGGGTTGCCGCTTTGTGGGGTGCAGTGGGGGGCTTTGGTGCCGGGCTTCGCCGTTTTTCCGGGGTGGTGGGTATAAAGAGGAAGAAAAGGACACCAAGTTTGAGGGCGCAAATATCTTCATGCGATGAACCCACTTGGAAGTGGGTAGCTACGGTTCTGTTCCCTTCAAAGAGGTGTGGGTGTTGCTCCATTGAGTTTAAAATAAGTTTGTCCTTTTTTGAGGGCGGGGGGGACGCCCTTCTGGGAAAAAGAAGGGGTTTAAAGAAAACAGGAACTATTGCAACAAGTTTAGGGGTCCCCTAATTCAAAGGTACGTAAACAAGGTACCCTTACCAAGATCAGGGAACAGGGAAAACACGCCACTGGCTGAGGTCCCCCAATTTGGAGACAGATGTTGACCCTGGCTTGTTACAAACCGGACACATGTCATGAGTGCACGCTTGAGTCAAGGATCCCCTCTAACATGGGACACCCTCCCTTGGGATTGGCTCCTCAGTTCGGATAGAAAGGGGTAGTTTGCGTTCTCGGCATGCAGCAGCCTCTGTTGCGGATGTGTTTATTATTTGTCCCCCAATTCAAGATTAAACTCAAGTCAACTTCAAGAGCCTTGGTGTGAGGTATTTCTTGGGCCAGCAATCCAGGGAGGCCGCCTGAGGAAGCTCAGTCTCAACCTGACTGCCTGACAGCCTCTTGCCAAGGATCTCTTCCTGTACCCCAATAACATGGCCGTAGGAAACGAAACCGGGCCGCGTTGGGAACGTATCTAGAAACCAAGGGTATATTCTGATGACACCCAAGATTGCAAGGAGTACCTCCTACGTTGCTAACCGACCACGGCGCATTGCAAGCCGGCCATTCCCATTCCCACCCAAGCCTCGGCAGGCACGCAGATTGGGTGCCCCGGCACGAATCGCGCCCACCGCATCCTCCACCAGGATGTGGGGAGCATGTTCAAACGGCTTCCCTTGGAGGAAAAGCCTCGGGAATCAGGCGGCAGCTCAGATCTCGAAACCCCTTGCCCTTATTTTGTGGCTGACTGTAGGGTGAAAGATGGCGCAACTCTCTAGTCTGGGTAAGTAAAGGGATGACTAGGCCAACATGGAAGAAGTGTGCCATCTATTTCACCCCGCAAAAATAGACTCGAACATAAAACATCGTGCCCAAGGGTAGGTTTTGACACAGCATTGTCCAAATGCAGTGGTCTTGTGGCTCGGAATGGCACAACTTCAGGCGCGGTCTGCGTTTGTCAGGCTTTGTAGGCCTCCAACCTGCAGACTGCAACTAAGGGGCTTCCCTGCAATCTAATCTAGCCTAGGATGTGGTTACAACTTCCCACAAAGCTTGCTTGATTCATGGAGCCCACAAAGTTGCTTGCCTCCCCAAGAGGACATGGGAACATTGGGTGGCCCGTGTCTTTTGTTCATTGTATGTTTGCGGTGAACTTGGATTGTCTTGCACGGTGAAAGGGTCGGTGATTTTCAAGCGGGCAACTTACTATAGTACTACTTATCACACTGAAGGGAAGCCTTGCCCCGGCCAAGGGGACAGCAAACCCACCCAGAGCCGACTTAAAATGGCGGGATATAATCAGAGTAAGTAGTACCCTTAATAAAAAAAAAAAAAAGGAAAAAACCTCCTCAGGAACCGAAAACAATCCACCAAAACCGGGTTCACACTCCGAATCTGCATCATCCACTCCAAATCTCGCGAACCTGCGCTCTCAGCGCCCCGCGTGAAGTCTGCAAAACCCCCGTAGTTGCGATCCATGTGCGTCGCCTAAAGAGGCGACATCCTTGACCCCTTCCTTCCGAGGGGCGACGTAACCCAAAGCAAAAGGCAGGCCCCCCCTGCTTTGTTTCTCAAAATGCTATTAGGCTGTGGGTCAAAATAATTAACCCCAACATGGAGCTCAGGCAAATGGTTCAATTCACCAATTCACGACTTGGTACCAACTCGCCATGAGCTGCTGTGAAGCTGTTGGCCAACCGTTTAAACCAAGCTACATTCGGGAAAACTGCAACATGCCAGAAGAAGCCCTTTGGAGCCAACCTAACTATGGTGGCTTAACTTGGACTCATACCCCCTTGATTCTTTACTGCGAGTCCCAACCTTTGTCCCCATCGCTTGGCATTTGTCTGAAATGTGCCTTTGCAACACCAACGCACTGAAATCAATGGGCGAACCCACCAACCCGCCGAACAATGCTGTGGATACAAGCTATCCAGGTCTCTTTCTGGGTGTTAATAGGGGGTCTGGAAAAATGGACAAATGAGCTATCCCCTTTCAGTTTTTGTTTGAGCAAATTGACGATCCTTGGCCAATTCGCGAGGACTTGGAGGCGAAATGAAAAAGGCATTCCTAATATGTGTGTGTTTTTCAGGGCACCCTTCTTCGGGGTCGGTTGTTACCACCTTTTTGGTCCGTTTGGTAAGTTCGCATTTTGATCCTTGTTGAAGCACGACTGGGTCCAACTCTCCTTTTGGTTGATATGTTGAGGGACCAAACGGAAACCAGCCATCTAGGGGCCCGATTCCTATCCTGTTCCAACCCCAATCGTCCCGACTGGGCGAAGTGAGGGACCGGTCGCTGCCCTAAACTTCGGAGTTTTGGTGAATCCCAAGGCCCCTGTCAAAATTCCTGAATATTGGTGTCTCAAAATAGGAGACCTCTAATCTCTAAAGTTAAGCTCGGAATAATTCAGACCGTACTGATCCGAGGAATCACCCAAACGTGAATCCACCGCGCTGAAAGTGAGCCGCCCTTGGTTTGTGCGGTCTTCTGGATAGGCGGCATTATTACAGTTTCCATGTCAGCTTCCCTTTGCAGACTATCCAGTAGTTCACATAAGCACAAAGCAAAGCACATCCTGCGCAATGAAAGGCACAATGACCGCATGCACTGGTACCTACAACGGATTTCCGGCACCAAGACAAAGCATTGAACTCCTCAACCACCAAACACAACCTAATTCAACACACACACACACACACACACACTCACACCCAGCAGCAAAAAGCAGAAACAGCACATAACACGTGCATCCAAGCAAATCGAGCCCAAGGCCAGGCGACCACACCACCCTCCCTTCGTGCCGGCGCCAGAAACCGAAACCGTGCGGGCCGAAACGGTCGATTCGGGGGCCCGGCATAGGCTAAGGACTCCATGGCGAGGTTCGGAAGCTCCTGGAAGACCACCTGACAATCAAAACCCTTTGGTGGAAGGCGAGAAGGGACAATCCCAGCCAGAAACAGCCGCCGCCTTTGTATTTCCTTAGGTTCTGGGTCAACCATTTTGATACCGGGTCTTGATTGCTCACCTCGGCTCTTCAAAAAGGCGTCGCCTTAGGGCACGCTTTTCTTCGGTTAGGGGCACCTAAAGGAAACAGTTCTGCAGAAAGGTGCGGTTCCTATTTTTGAGGGCATATTTGTTCGCTTGGCTAGGGACACCAACAGGAAACTCTTGCTTGTTGTGCTTTGAAGAGCTTCCGATTCCTATTTGAGGCAAACCCATACAGGCTTCTTAGTTCGGAAAAGGGTGTCCTTCATTCTCCTTTTTTGGCGGTCACCAAACAGGTGGGGGCGTTTTTTGAGGTCGTGAATCGGTGCTTTCCGGGCTTCGAAATGGGATATGTAACCTCCGAAATGGGTGGCTCGAAGCAGTCCCACCATAAAAGCCACACTGACTTACCAAGCAGGCGCTAAATGATGGGACCCCACAAGGACCCAACCGGGGACTTGTTACGCCTGATCAGGCACTGCGTTCTACTCCCCTTTTGGGATTGGGGCAGGAGGCTGTTTGCTTGCAGCATCAGACATGAGGGGTGATGGACTTGTGGCAGCAATGGATTTCCTTTACTGCTGGATGAGTTCTTCTAAAATACCAGAGCATGGTACTGAGCATGGACAAAATCTGCGTTGCACCAGTCGGTAGGTGGCTTATCCCAGCACTCATAGGGATTCCTCCATCCCAAGATAGGAGAGCCAGCCAGAGGTTGTTTGTATCAGCTTCCCGCTGAAGTTTGATCAAGAACCACCTGTGCTTGTTTTTGTTGGCCATGGTCACATTGCAACCCCAGCGGCCAAATTACAGGAAACTCCAGCATGCCCGATCTGAGACTGCCCGTAAAAGGAAGCGGTGGCTGGAGAAAGCCGGCGGAAATCAAACCGCCGCAGCATGGCGGTGTGACCTTGGAACATGTAAGCCTTACTGATATACCTACGGATATATAGATATATAATAGATAATGGCATCCAGGACCGAAGCTTCTCAAGACTTGAGCCATTCCATGGATCAAAACCCCGTACTCGTGCACCTACCCCAAACTGGTACCTTTCCTTTCCTTTCCTTGCGCAATGAGTCCTGTCGGACGCAGCGTGTGCAGTGAATTAAGCCGGCGACCCCGAGTCAACCGGTCATCCCGCAAAGTCAGGACCTTGCTCCTCGGAGAGGACCATACTAGCATATTCAGCCAGCAGGCCTCCATCAAGCTCCCTGATTTCAGGGTCACTTGCTACACGGCTCATGGCACCATCATGAAAACTCAAGGCAAACCCACGGCACAACTGAGAGGGATACTCCTTAAGGCGTGCAGTATTGTACTGCCCCTGGGCATCCTTACCGGTTGTTTTGCCTATGGCAGGCCTCTCTGAAACAGGAACCTGGGTTGAGTTGATGATACGCTCAAACTGCGGCAGGTTGCCTGTGAGGAGAGTAGTGGGCTTTTTGGCGCTTTGCCCCCAGTTCCATTGGGCTACACGATGTGCCTCGACCCCTACGAGCTTTTGCAGCCACAGTATGGCTGGAAGCTGCCAAATCGAAGGGGCCTCCGGGCCGTCCAGATGAGCCGGGTGCTCCCCAAAATGGTACCATTGGTTTTAACCCACAGCCATTTCCCAAACCATACCACATCCGACCACAGGTTGGGGGGGTTGCCGACAGACCCTGGATTCATTTTGTCTCTCTTGGCCGCCGGGCGCAAGGCGCAGCTGCCAGTTTGAGCCTCAAGTCCTGGGCAGGAGTCGGGAATCCGTTCGGGATGGGTGAAACCCTTTGAACGCCGCCAAGCGGAAACTTCCGTTTGCGTTTTCGCCCCTGGATTAAGGTCAAAATATGTCCAGTGATACAATTCCCAAAAAAGAACAACTAGGGAAGATAAAACATACTAAGCAAATGGAAGGAAACTCACCAAGGGGATGCTTAAAACCTGGAAATACAGGGACCCCTGGCAAGATTGCAGCAAGTCCTGGAGCCCGCACTTGGCGTAGATCCACAGCCTTCGTGGGATCGCGCGAGCGACGTTGCCCGGCGATAGAAAAGAAACAACGCATGAAGGAATAAACTAGTTGCGCAGCCCACTCAAGATGGCTGGGCTCCTTTCTCTCTGGCAAATGTGTATATATATATATATATTTATAAGTAATATATGTGTGTTTTGTTTGAAGGCGGACACTGTTCTGGAACCATACAGGACAACCACCATTTTGGGAGTCCCATATTTGTTTGAAGGATTTCCAAGAGAGGCACCTGCGTGGGGAAGGTTGCTCTGCCGAAGTTGCAGTTCTTGTGCCTCGCATCTGAAGGAGGAATGCTCTGAGCACCTTCGCATTCGCTTCCGCTTCATTGAGCTCCAATTGTTTGGACAAAATCCTGCACCTGTGGGACTATGAATACTGGGTTAAAGCACCTTCCAACAACTGGTACAGGATTTTCTTCATCAACCGGGTGTGCCTCAAAAGTAATCAGCCAGGGTTACGCAGGTTTTAGTCTTTGGTTTCATTCGCCAAGGTGCCATTTTGGGTTTGCATGTCTTTGAGCCATTGACCTCTGTGCTCCTGCGACAGGTGACCCCCAGGCAGAATTCCCCAACAGCCAGCCGGCAAAAGGCGAAAGCCGCAAGCATTCGCTCTGCCAAGCATGGCAAGCAATTAAATATGAGTTCCATTCCGGCGCATTATGTAAGATGAAACTCCAAAATAGTTTCTGTTTGGAGTAATCTCGGTTGGAGTTCGAGTCCTGCTTTTTAGGTACCATGCTGATCTGCATTGGAGCAGATCTTCTTCTACAAGTGAATGGCTTTCTTGCACTAGATCTCCCTCTTAAACCCAGCGACTCGCTTGAACTGAGCAGGACTTTCCTGTGTAGTTATTAACTCCTGGGCAAAACAGCTTAACTAGTGACTAGTGCAGGCTCGTTGGAGAACACGCCCCCGTTCCCACTTTCTTTCGTCGCGGAGTCCAATGAACATCGCCCACAGCCCCGGAACACCCTTGCAACCGAATCTTCGGAACCCCAAACCCCAGCCCTTCTCGCGTAAAAGATCTGGGCCAAAAAAAGTCCAACCCCAACAACCCAGCCCTTCTCGCGAACATCTGGGCCCATTTCGACCCCACCGAAAACCAGCGCCAGCAGCTGAAGCACAAGGAGAGAGTCGCCTGGCATCTGGGAAGGCTTGCAGCCAGCTGAGGTCCTGGGAACGGCCGCTTGGGCCCGAGGCGTGTCCTTCTTGGAGGGCAGAGCACGTTTTTTTTCCGGTTTTTTCTTTTTTCTGGGCTGTCCGTTTTCAGATCCCGCGCTACAGGTTTCTAACCCTTTGGTGGGGCAAATGGAAATCCAACCACTAAACACGTCCCCTATTCTATTAAAGTAAGATTCCGGTAACCTTTGGCAACCGGCCAAAGCCAATAGTTTCAAACCTAGGGTTAAAAATCCTTACTGCAATGGCTTGCCATGCTGGCTAAAGGCTTGTGATTCTTTTGATTTCCCCCAATGGCAACCAAGGGATGTCGGTTCCAGCTCACTCCGCATCTTTTTGGAAGACCATCTTAGTGGCAAACAAACAGGGATGGCTATATCCAATCCATGGCCAAATCACTGCCAGATCTGCAAAGCGCTTGCGGAACTTACTTTGTTTTTGGGTGGGTGGGGGGGCTGCAATGAGCCTTTCAAATCTATGATTTGCTTTGGTGCTGGGGGTGTTGTTCGCCATCGAAGCTGTCTTAGCCATGGAACTTGCGCTGTGCGGGATGCCCACAAAGCCCAATGAGAGTACCCCGAATCCCGAAAGACCATATCGGGCCCGGCTACTCTACAGGCCTGATGACTAGAATAAGACTGGAGGGTGCTTTAAACGGCTGGCAAACCCCAGTAAACAGCGCTTGATCATTTCTATCAGTTTTGCGAACCAAATCAAGACATGATTCACAATTAGCAACAAACTGTGAGTAGTTTCCCTCCCATCCAGTGGCATAGCACCTGTGCGAGGGTACCTGGAAGATCAGCTTCCTCTTCAAGGACCCCCTGTCAGGAGCCATGTTAGTGGGAGGGAGGGTATTCACTCACTTCCAGAAAGTCCGAAGCTTTGGGCGCAACACGTGAGCCCAGTGAGCCCTGGACATCGAGTGAGTTCAGCGTGTCTCCTCGTTGCACACAGCCACCACCAGGTCCAACTTGGCATCGTGGCAACTGGCAGATGGTTGAACTTCAAATGGGAATGTATACAAATCCCTGCAAGTCAAAACATGGGCGCCGCAAAATGAATTTCGGTGTTCTTTGAGATTCCCCAATCGAAACCCGAAAAGGGTACGGAGCGTCCAAAAAATACACGGACCGCTTTCTGGGTTCACTTTTGCAAGGCAGGAGGGACCTATTTTGGCCATCCAAAAGCTGACACAAGGTCAGTTTTAGGCGCAAGCACCTCCTGGCTTCAACCAGCTGCCGTGCCTTTCATCCAGTGGGCACGTGTTCTTGCCGTTCTGCCAGCAAGACAAAAGCTTGCTTTTTTTAATTGTGCACAAAAAGGACCCCCCCCACAACGCACAATCTCGCGACGTCTTCGCATGCATGGGTAACCCTTCGGCATCCTTACCTCTAGGTTTTACCATGGATGGATTCCTGTGGTGACCTACTATAGTAGTATCTGGAAGCACTGGGACAGCTGTCTAAAATGTCCAAGGGATCCATGACCGTCACTGCCAACTCCAAGCTTACTGCGGGCCGTTTGACCAAACATCTCACCGGAAGCCCGCGAACCGAACCGAACCAGAAACGTTGGAACTTTGCTGTTGCAAGCCTGCAAGGCTGTTCCCAAAAAGCGTTTCTCAAGGTGACGCACATCCCTAGGCTGAGGGGCTTATGAGCAAGCCAATATTGCGTGTACAAAAGGCAGAAAAAAAGAACAAAACACGGTTTGGGGGATTTCTCGGTGCTATTACAGAAGCCCAAAACCAGCATGTCTGGATGGGACACGCCAATATGTTCAGGGGCTTGTGAATGCCCTAGCCAAATGCTTCTACAGAAGCCCAAAAAAGCATTCTAGGGGGTACGCATCCTTTTTCTAAGGGTCCTATAAGTTCGCCAAACAATAACTGAGCGGCTGAAGCAGCACGCAGTGATTTTAGGCTGTCCAAAAAGCCAGTCTTTAGCGCTCGTGTGCTCTTTCAGCTTGCGAGACGTCCGGTGCAGTTTCAGAGGGCAGCTGACAGCACTGCAATCTCTTGCAGCATGACGAATTCGAGAGCCTGGCTTTTGGGCGACATTCAGTGAGTTTTTGTGGTTTTTCTGGGAACCTTTGTGGGATCCGAGAGTCCCTGATTGAAAATTCCTGAATGCCCCACCCCAAAGAATCTCCGAAACCTCCCGACTCCCGCCTCAGCTGCCCTGCAGCTTGGCAGCTGCCCTGCAGGAAGCGGGCCACTGCGGCCTGCAAAGTTGAAAGCCATTGCCAGTGCCGTGGCCATCCCAAATCTGCGCGATCCGCAGCATTTATGGACAAAACCAATGGGACAAACCACGAGTATCATGCTGATTCAGGGCCATACCAAAAAAAAACATTGCAGTCTAGTGACGGACTATTGGGGGTAGCTTGGGCAAGTGGAAGTCGCCATATTAAAACAGCCATGATTCTAGGTCCCTTGGCTTTCTCGGGAAGCGGAATCCAAAATTAGGTCTCTCTAGTTTTCTGCTTATAGGATCTTCACGACGCGTTTCCAAGGGCTTGACCACTGAAGAGTTCTCTGTTTTTCTCACAAAGGAGTCTCCGGCCCCTGGTGCTTTGAGCTCACTTTCCCAGGCGGTCGAGCTGAGTGTCTTCTTGGTGGTGGTTGGCTTAAAACACGTGAGGCACTCGTCTCGGGACCTGGGAGGGTTCAGCACTCAAGCTGCAAGCTGCAAGCTGCAAGCCACGGGCGTTGGGGACCCGGAGGCCGAAGGAAAAGCCAAGGGAACTCGAAAGCCAACGAAGGGAGCCCTGAGATCACGTTGCCTCGCGGACGGGCCAAGGATCTCCGGACTCCGAGAAGGCGAGTGGCTCGGCAACATCATGGCTTTCTAGAGTCAACAAAAAGACTGCTGGGGATGTCAAGATACGGGGTCTTCTTGTTGGGTATCCTTTTTGGGGGTGGTGTTAAAGAAGGAAACCAACCATTTTGGGCGGTGCCCCTAATTTGCGATAAACCCATATGGCTCATTTCACCAGGTCTATGCCATCGGGGCTCGGTGAGGTGGAACCCTTGGGAGTAAGCCAAATTCGAATTCTGAGGCTTCCAGAAGTAGACCCACGACTCAAGGCAGCTCTTTGGGTAAACTAAATTCACACATCGGAAATAAGAAGTCACAACAACTTGCAAATGGGAGGATCCCCAGCAAAACCATCCCCTATGGTTTCCTTTCAGGGAATCCCCTTCCCATTATTTTTTTCCAAAACCCAGGGTCATTCCCTGCTGAGAACCAGCGACAAACCTTCATCTTAGTTTGTCTTACTTCGAGGTATCACTCATCACTACTCCGAATGCCCACTGTTTGACAGGGTGCGTTTTGACGAACCGGGTTTTCCATGTTAAGTACCTCCTTGTTTCGTCCGGGGTTAGCAGGATACCCCCAAAAAAGGTGGGTATGTGCAGTAGGGCGAAATTCTCATGATTTGAAGCGCCTGAACATTCCATTCAGATTTCAACGACCCCAAATCCCCCCCGCCCCCCGCCCCACCCAAAAACAACAACAACAAAAACAAACAAAAAACGGGGGGAAATCTGGGTGTGTCGCGTTTCGAGGCTCGTCACACATTTGGTTTGCGTGTTGTCCAAGTCCCGGCCTCTATGGGCCAGCCCGGCAGAAGGCTCGAAGCCTGCTCGAGAAAGCGGCCGCTTTTGGGCGGAAAGCCACCCACAGCTTTCCCGGCCTTTTCTTTTTTTGAGAAGCTCAACGTGCCCAAAGGGAAGCCAACTTGGTTACTGTTGATCAGAATCTGCACAGAGTGTCTTTTTGTGGGTTCATGGAAAGCCCTCTGTTTCAACCCGAAATTTGAAGTTCAAAGATCCAACCAAACAGCCACAGAGGGATTTGGAGAATCCACCCCCCCGCCTGAGCCACGGCGTCTAAAAGCACAGCCTCCTGATCGAAACTCGAAACGAGCCCAGCATCCCCCAACTGCTTTTTCCACGTCCAAAATCCCCTTGGTACGGTAACTAAAAAGCAGCGCTTGGAAGTGCTGCTTGGGATTGGCCCAAAAGTTCTGGGCGTTCATCCACTGGTGCGAAGTGGGATTCGCAGTAGTTGGATAATGTTCCTCTACGAGAGATCCTCGGGTGGGTTTCATGGTGGGAGGCTAAGTCAAAATGAAAGAAGCAAACAGATCCATCACAATTGTCAGTCGTTCGTATCATCTAGTATCGTTTTCCAATTGATGGTGAATGATCAAAAAGCCAGGGGAATCCCATCTTGAAACACCAGGCCCATTTGGGACACTTGTGCCTTCAAAGACGTTTCAGCGAACATAGGAGCCAATGGCATTCCACCAAGCCAAAAACAGAAATCGCAGAATACAACATACTCCCCTGGAATTCACGAGCCCCCAAAAGGGGGCCATTCTCCAAAAGATCACATGATCTTCGGGGACTAAGCGCCCGAGTCTGATCCTGCCCGTGCTGGGTTTGCAGAGGGTGTCATTCGTTCACCAACAAGCCCATGACAAATCTCCGAGTCTGGGTATGTCTCCATGCATCCCTGCAGCATGGCTTCGCACATCCAAAGTCGGGGCATTGTGAACCGCTGCATCTGGACTTGGATCAGCAACGTGCAAGATGAACACCGCCAACTCACTTGTCCAGTGCCCATGTTCGATGACTGTGGCTTCTACCCAGAGGGGGGGGTTCTCAAAATAGAGGGCACCCTTTTTCACTGTTGTAAACCGAAGAAACCCAACCATCTCGAGGGGTCCCGTGTTTTGAGAAGCACCCAAACACTATCTGTGCAGAGCCCCTCCCACAAACAAAGGGGGCTTGGGCCCTGCTGGCAGGGGGACAAAAGGCGAACCTGGCCCCGACGAAAAGGAACAACAGTTTCAAGCGCCAGCTGGCAATTGACCCAGGAAAACCAAACCAACCATCACCCAACCATCAACCAAACCAACCGCCATCGATTGGAAAGAAACAAGCAAACAAGCAAACAAGCAAACGAGCAAGCAAGCAAGCAAACAAACAAACAAACAAGCGCAAAATGAAATAGTGCCGCTTGTCCAATTTTCGCCGATGAATTCCTCTGCTCAGACGCCAAGCGCTGCATTCCAGCCTCCATGGGCCAAGTCAGGTCGATCCGTGCCTCCGCGAAAGGAGGAGAGGCGCGAGACCAATTGTCGAGCTAAAGTACCCATTGGCCTAAGGCTCCCGATGATTCTTGGGGCCCTGAAAATGGGGTGTTTTCAAGGGCCCCTGAGGGGTCTGGGTTCTTCATTGGAGGGCCCGAAATCTGCACTGGAGGGGTCATGAGCCATTAGGGTGACTGACTTCTGGATCTGCATTGTTTGAAGGTACCTGTTTCAGGTTGGGAAACCAAGAAGAAAGCCACGATTTTGAACGCGCATATCCTTCTGGAGTGGATTGGCCAAATCACAGAGTCTTAACTTGTTGTTTACAACTACAATGGATTCCCTACGAAGCAGAAAGTTCAAGGAACGCGGGATTTGAATTAGTCGTGTTTCTGTCTTTTGTGACAGTACCTTTTTGGGGTTCGTCACGGTCCCGAAATCCTCAGCCGAGGAGCCTATCGAATCGAGCAGGGCCCACGGGGTCCATGACCCTCTATGGTTGGGAGCGGTGGGTTGCAGCCCCGGGCTGTCTGCAAAGCCACGGAAAAGCGAACCCGGGGTCACGGGTCCGAAGTCCTGACACTCGACACAAACCCCACATCCCTACCCAAAACTTTGGGGTTTCCCGCAAAGGTCTGCTCAATATGTGTCGTTTCTGGGATGTCCTCAACTGCTCAAACTGCTGAGTGATAAGTGTGAGTGGTTGAAATGGAACTCTACCATTTAAACCAACTGAAAACCTAAGAACCTAAGGGGACGGCTGGGGACCCCCAAGGCTTGATGAGAAATGGAAGCCAAATCTGGGGCTCCCCCGGTTTGGAGAACTGATGTGCAAAGCTGAAACTGGATTGGCGATATCCCAGTCGCGTGTGCCAGAAACCACAAAGTGTCTTTGCAGAGAATGTCCATGGAAAATCTTGCAGATTGCCATGCACTCATTGACAACTCATTGAAATATCTTTGCAGATTGCCATATCATCAAACTCCTCGAAAACTCTTGCAGATGTTCACGGTTCTGATTCTAAGGGCTCAGGAGCTGTGCGGCTTCCGGCCAAGAAAACGGGGTTGCCCTTTTCTGGTTGATCACATGTGCGGAAGCAAGTGGACAAAATACCAAGGGGGGCAACACTGAATAATTAGTTGATACTTCGCGGCAATCACATCTAAGGTAGCCTTGGGATCAAAGAGAAACATGAGTCACCACTCACCAGATTGCTGTATGATTCAGTCATGCCCACTGCGGACCAATCATCATAACCGCAGGCATCAGAAGGGTTGCAATAGAATTCATCCAAGTTTCAAAAATCTGACTCACAAACTTGGGTCCAGCATGAAATCGTGTTCCTTCCCCTACCCACCCAAAATGGGTACTCTCAAAGAAAAACAAACCCATGTTCACAGGGTCACTGGATTTCCCGTCAAGAGTTCTAATTTGCTGGTGGTTTCCATTGAAACTGCCACTTTTAGAGGTTCCTAAAAGAGAAATGGAGGAAACCCATGTTGACCATTCTGTCGCATGCTTTCCCTTCAACGCCTCTCCCACATCCGACTCTGACTCTGGCAGCCGAGCGTCTCCCAATCGGCTCGACCTCCGCAACCCCTCAAGTGCAGGGTCAATGGAATCGGGTTGCGCTTTGCGCCCTTTGGGGTTGCATTCAACAGAAACCAAAACCATTTCCAAATCCTTTTCTTTGTTGACAAGTTAAATGGAGTTGGGGCTGTGTCCCCAACGAAACAAACAAACGCACAGCCATGGTGGATCAAGGCTAGGGCCCCGAGAGGATGGCTATAAAGGTTGTGGCAGTGGGTCAAAAAAGGTACCCAACATGGAAGCCTCGTAAGTCGAAAACATGGACCAATACTTGCAGCGTCTGGCGGTTCAATTTGACCCATACCCATGTAGGCCTATATCAGCCCCTATGAAACCAGAGCCACTCGCTACATATGCCAATGGGAATCGGTGGGCACTCATTTGAAATTGCAGCTACATCAGGGATCCTTACTTTATACACCTGAACATTGCAACTTGCAAATGGTAGTTTGCAACTCTATTTTGGTGTTGAAAAAGCCACATGTTTCAATTGGGCGGGCAAAATGTATCCTTTACTCAGTTGCGCAAAAGGTCCGGAAACAAAAGGTTAAGCTTTTGGGACCTTTACTGAAAATGGACCAAACAGGGGCAATCAAAAGGTTAAAAAGTTGGCTTTGGACTGAGCTTAAGGAGCCCGGTACATGTAGCTGCACTGCTTGTCAGAAAGCGACCGAGCCGCCGGCATGAGCTGGGCTATCCATGCGAGGGCCTGCTGGAAGAGGCCATGGGCCTGGTGCCGCTGGTGCCGGCCCCCCCCACCGAAACAAGCATATGGCTGTGGGTCAACACCAATGGTACCATTTTGGGGTAGGTGAATTCACCACCTATTTTAGTCTACTCTTGTGGGGATTGGGGTTCTCACTGGGGGTACGATTTGGATTTTGACCCATGGCCATATGGGTGGCAATTTGTTTGATGATACCCCTTTTTGGGGCAGTCTGATGAAGAAATCCACAATGTCACAAGAAAACTCAACATTTTTCAGAGAAACCCTAAAAACACACACACACACACACACCCACACCCACACCCACACCCACACCCACACCCACACGCACACGCACACGCACACGCACACATGCACATGCTCACGCGCGCACACGCACACGCGCACACGCACACGCACACGCACACGCACACGCGCGCGCACGCACACGCACACGCACACGCACACGCACACGCACACGCACGCGCACGCGCGCACACGCGCACGCGCACGCGCACGCGCACGCGCACGCGCACGCGCGCGCACGCACCCACACACACACACACGCGCGCGCACACGCGCGCACACGCGCGCACACGCGCGCACACGCGCGCACACGAGCACACGCGCGCACACGCGCGCACACGCGCCCACACGCGCACACACGCGCACACAGTGTGCGCACACACGCGCACACACGCGCACACACGCGCACACACGCGCACACACGCGCACACACACGCGCACACACGCGCGCACACACGCGCACACACGCGCACACACGCGCACACATGCGCACACACTGGCACACACGCGCGCTCACACGCGCACACGCGCGCTCACACGCGCAAAATCATGATCGTGTGGCCGAGGGGAAGGAATAACCTGTTTTTTTGAAACAGCCTGAAATCGAGCAGGCTTTGGAGGCTGGACATGCGCGCACACACACACACATGCGCCAGGCACAATGTTCTTTGTTCACTAAGCGGACATGTGAACATTGGGGACATTTGGTGATGGCTCACAAACTGGGAAACGTGTGCTGCCCTATGAGACGCAAGCCAAAGCGCAAAATGCGCGCTGTGCTGCCTTGAGGTAGACCCTCCACGTGAGCTTGCCCTGAGGGTTTCCCTGCGCAAAATATATAACTCACATTGGAATCCGTAGTCAAAAGCAATCACTATGGCTGACCCGGGCGAGCTCATCATAGCCTCCCCACCACTAGCATGGAACTTGACAAGGGGCTGAAGCGAACCTTTGGCGACGTGGACGGCAGGCCAAATGGATAGAAAGTCCCAGTCGAACACCGCGTCTGCGTTTGTGCGCCCCAACCTGCCTGGGCGCAGTCCCCAGCACTCTGCCGCGCCTGCCGGGGGACTTTCTAGCAGGGATGGCACACCACTTATCCAAGGGCTACTGCATTACATTTTTACTGTATGGGCAAATCGGTGGGGGGTCGCACTCATAGGGTGTCATCCATCCCAGCTGGGGGCGAAGTGGATTTTGTCCATGGACCATGAGAAGAATTTTGATTGAGAGAATCCATGGACTGTTGCCACCAGGTCTTTCGGAAAAGTTTGCCATTCCTGCACAAAAAAGGGGGCCTGATACATTTTCTCCAGTAAAGTTCAGAAAGCTCTTCCCGCGTGTAGAATCAATTTGGCGCCCTTGGCAACATCAAAGACATGTCAGTTGTAATCAAAACCCGGTGCTAAAAGGGTCTACCCGCGTAAAGAACTAAGAAGGCGCCCGCAGCTATTTATGGTTGGGACTGCCCCTTACTAGCATTCATCTACCCGGGTCTTGATCACAGCAGATGTGGGTGTCCACCAATGTTGCCTATATTGAAAGTCATTAGTGTGGTAATCAGCACCCATCCTTCCTCGCTTGGTTCCACACTTTAAGCTTCTATTTGGGCAAGACCCCTGGGAAAACATTTCCAGTAGTGATTAACTCCTTTTAAAACTAACAAGGGGAAAACAAAGCTTAAGCAAATGGAAGTAAGTAGTTGGACCACAGTGTGGACGGCCGTGCGCTTTTCAACACTTTTTGCCGGCGGCATGTTTTTTTTGTGTTGGGGGGGGGGGGGGTTGGGGGGGGACATGGTAGCAGCAATTTCACTAAACACAGGGCCAACATAGTTTGGGGGGGATTTCGGGGAGTGTGGTAGCAGCATGTTCACTTAACGCAGGGTTGCACACACAGGTTCGCCCCCCCCCCCCACACACACACACGCTCGTGCAGATAGGTCTTCGTGGTGGCGCCGCCCTCAGGCACACGTACACAGACACACATCGAGCACGTTCTCTTTTGGGAACACACGAGAAAATCTGATCTGCGGCAGGAGCTGCATGTAGATATCCTTAAGGCAGCTGTTAGAGCTCGAATGTGACTCGCTTCCGAACTTCATGTTGCATCATGACCAGATTTTCGAAGCGTTGACTTTGCTTTTGGCACTGCGCTTGCTGCAGGGCTTCCCATGGGCTTTCTGGTTGGAGCATTTGCCTTTCATTCGGCCGCTAACTCCGTGGCTGACAATGGGCCGATTGAAATCCATGAGTCGGCGCAGGCAATCAAACCTAGCTTCGTAATCCAGATCACACACCTTTTGCTGCGGTCAGAAAAAGGCGCGGTCCCCCGTTCACTGCTTTGACAGAGGGGACGTTGGCTTGGCTTCGTCGCATGTGGCGCGCCGTTGTGGAGACGCAGCTTCTTGATGCTCCTGGGGCATTCGACTGCGCAAATGGCATTTGTGCTCCCGGGCAGGGAAGACATCCCCGAAGCTTAGCTTTGACTTGAGCAAGGTGTGGCGCAGCTGTGTCGAGAGCTCGGGCCATGCTTTGGCCCTGCCTGTGATCGACTTGGACCAGCCCGAGGCGAACTTCCACAGAGCATTCGCTGCTAAGCAGTTCCCGGAGGCACTCTCAAAAGCCGTGAAAACGGCGGATCATGCTTGAAGATAGTAAAACAGAGTAGTTCCCGGCGCAGGCTGTCCAGACATGGAAACAAACCAAACAGATGAAAGGATGTTGTTTCTGGCTGCGTTCCCCTCGCAATGACTCACGTTCAATGATACGCATATGTGGGAAACACAGTGAGGATTCAAGATTCATGATCGCATGGCGGGTCAGGTGTTTCCCTTGCCAGTGGCGTTTCGTGTGTGAAGCTATTTTGCAGCCCATGCCACGTTCACTTTGACGTAACGGCCGCCTGTGAGCCGTGGACTAAGTAGTTTCCTCCCAAAACCGCACCTGGGCCGTCCTTTTGGACTCCTCGTTTTACGCGGTCGAATGAGCCAGGGGACCGCAGGTAGTCAGGTAGTCTTCCAATTTTGGACTCCCATTTTTGAGCCCCACCCCAAGTCATGGTAGCCTCAAAACATGCCCTGACGTCTTTCAAGCCATGGCTTTGCTTAAAAGGAGCCCCCCCAAACCTGTTTGGCTACCTGACGCAACGCCACTGGCGTGAACGACCCAAAGGCTTTTGGTTTCCCTTCGATTTCCCCTGAAACAGCCGGGTGTGTTTTTTAAGGGTCGCCTTTTCAGCTTTTTTGGGTGAACAGGAACTACATGATTTTGGGGGGTCCCCGTTACCCAAGAAAACTGATGCGTCCTGATTTTCTCAGCCTGTGCAGCGAGAATGGTGGAGGACAGAAGGAGGCCGGGGCACTCCTGCAATATCCTGGCAAAAGATGGCTGGTTGAATGGGGGGTGTCTCCACAAGTGGGGATTCAGACCACTTGAGGGAATACCCCTCAGCAGGAGGGAACACCCCCGAGTAGGAGGGGTCCTACCTAGACTTTGATGAACCCAAAAAGGCCCAAGAAAAAACTCCTGACATTTATTTGTTTATCGGTTGCGTCCACGATCAGGGGAGAGGGAAAACACAACACTCTTGGGTTCGGCACACCTCATGAAGCAAAAAGGTCGCCTCTTGCGCAAAGCTCAAATGGCTGTAAGCCTGCAAGCAAAGGGGTGTGTTCTCAAAGAGTCATGATGCTACCCAAAGCCACGAGAAGAGTCAAAGCCTGGATCCACACCGAGTTCTGTCTACTTATGTCCCCTACAGTTCTAAGTCCTCCAGTAGAGGTTAGAATAAGGGTACCCTGTTTTCTGCAGTCTATTTTAGTTGGGGACCCCTCCCCCAAAAAAGGGTAAAAGGGCACTACTGAGGGACCTGGCCCACCCGCTTGAGCGCGCTGCGCGCACGCAACAACGTGGCTGTCGCAAACAGGTCAGCGCCACTGCAGCTGCGACGGCGGCTGCATGGAGGAAACGAAAAAGGCCGGGGACAGCGGGGGCCGGCCTTGAAGGCGCCCGGAGGCTCCGGAGGCTCCGCGCGCGTTGTATGGTGAATTGGACTGTGGCCCTTTGTGTTGCTCGTGCACGTTTACACGATTTGGGCATCTGCAACTCGTTTGGTCTCTTTGGATCAATCCAGGGCCTCCAAGAGCGTTGTCAGATTTGTACCAGTCCCCGAAAACAAGGCGCAGTTCGGGCTTCAGAGTCCAACCGGAGGCATCGGGGCGAACGACCGACACTTGCCGGTTGCGAACTCAAGGAAGCCCTGCACAGAGGATGGCCAAAACATAGCATTTGGAGGAATTTCGTATGCATAGGAATCTGACCAAAACAGGTTTCGCGAAAAGCGTGGCATTTGCAACGTGTGATGTTCACTCATGAATGATCTTGAATCAGAAATCGGGACGCAGCCCGTTTGTGCCGGAGTTTCTGTTCTTCCAGGGACCTTGGCCCATGGAGAATTGGGGAAGGGGACTTGCAACAACTTCCCCGAACTCAGCAAAATGGCCCCAAGCCAGGTCTCAAATTCTGGCAGATGTTGCCACATTTCAGGGGCCTCAGTTCTCCGTGTGGAGTGTTTTGAGGGCTCCAGGAGAACACCCACTAGGACGTGCAGGTCCACGTCTTCTGCACCAACTGGCCATTCAGGTAGCCGCTGCCAGGCGACTGTTCGGAGAACCGTAGGGCCATTGAACCCTGATAGGTTGGCGGGAGAAGTCACTACATTTGACGCAGATTTGCGGAGCGCGACGCGTTTGGCAAGTTAGATCACAATCAGCTGACGAACTCACAAAGGCCCAATCCTCTGTTTAAGCCGGTGTTTCCCTATTCTAGATTCAACATGGAACAGCTTCAAAAGGTCCGAACTCAGTCTCTGTGGCTCTTCCCGGACCATGCTGGCTTCGGACCTGAAATGCAAGCACGATGGACCATCACCCTGTGGTATGTCAAGCAAGCCGTCCCCACGACTGTCCTACCACAAGGGGATTCGCAACCCAAGCAAAAACTTGACCCTGCCGGTTCAGAAGGATGGAGGAAACCCAAAAGGGCAAAAGGGACGGCGAATGACAACTGTGAACTGCCACGAGAATCTCATTCTGACGACTGAGGTGGCAGGCCATTCTGATGGTAGAAGTTCCCAATGTCCTCCTGAAACTGCCTGACAGTGACACCAGCTGAAGATTCTGCTTGTGCCATGGTTCCTTGGTCTTCTTTGTCACACTTCAGCACACAACGTATCCCATACCAACTCCCAAGACAAAGCCTTACAAGATAATAGTGCATCTAGTTTTGTCGCGGATCCCCCGGCACCAAACGGCAGCCTTTGAAGCGTTACTTAACTTGATTCTGTGAGGTCATTTTCGGGATTCGCTATTCTGCCCTAGGACAACCCAACAGAAACACCACGTTTTGTTGGCGGGTGAGACCTCTTGCCCTTTTGGTTTTGGCCTCCGGCTCATAACAACCATCTGCACCCTTTCAGTGGCCAAGAGCGGTTCAATTTCTATGCCACTGGGAGACATGGCCGTGCAGCAAGGGATCCTTTGGTGCATATCACGTAGGTGGGGCTTCATATCCACCAACCGCTTGTGAGGTAGTGGTTCTCTATCGAAAGGGACGCCCAGGTTTGCCTCTCAAGCTCAGCACACCGAATTCTGAAGATTCCTATCTGTGTTCCGCATCAAATCAGACCTGATTCAAGCAGCCATACCGGTACCTCGCCGCCAAAAAGGTATCTAAAGCAGCTAACGCCATTTTGTTCTCACTTTATCACATCTGCTGAGACTCAGTTGTTCAGTGACCCAATTTAGTAGTGGGGCAGCCACCCCAAAAAAAGGAAAACGGGTGCCACTGAACAAGAAGGTGTTAACCTGCCACTCCCAGCCCCACTCCACCCTCAAAACCTGGTTGTCCTTTCTACTTGGGCTGGTCGAGTGTTTGGCAACTACACTGGGATGAAAGCAAATGGCACAACTTTGCTCGTGTGGGTAAAGAAAGAGAATGACTGATCAATGGCAGGTAAGAGGATTCCTAGTCAAACGGATGTAATTGCAAACCAACATAGGGATTTGTTGCCATCTACTTCCATGAATTCTCCTCGGACAACCAGCTGAGACTCTCAAAGGTTGGTAGCTCCAGAAGTGATGGCAACCAGTCGGCATGCTGCACCGAAATGATAACGCTTCTCCCCGCAATTCTGCATTTCTTTACAACATATTGACCCTCTCTCCCACTAACATGGCACCTGACAGGGACCCGGTCCCTCCAAGAGGAAACTGATTGATCGTCCAGGTACCTTCCCACAGGCCTTTTTGGCAACGTGGGAGGAAGGGTAACCAAAATACCCAGAAAAACATGTGGGATCCCCCAACGAATTTTGGACTGGTGCGCTTTCGCTCGGCTCGCAGCCAGGCCGGTAGCCGCCACAGCACTGCTGGCGCCTCATGTTGACCCAAAGAGACCCTGCAATGTGTTTAGAACATGAATTTATCTGCACTTGTCCGGCTCTGACGCAGTCGCGCTTGTCCAGCGGGTTTGTCTCAGAATTGGAATGCTGGTTTTGCTGTTGTCCTTCAAAACAATCCCCCAAACGGGTGCATGGTGTCCCTGTGCTTTGACCGCCTGCGATCGCATGACCATGACTCCCGACCATGCTCACGTGGCTGTGCTTTTTGTCCACCTCAGAAATGGAATGATTCTCATCCGTGCAAATCAACACGGTTTCCCAAAACACCCTCAATTCTAGAGTCCCAAACCTGATTGAACTCTCCCTCGTAACATGGAACCTACCAGAGTGTCCGTGAAAAATAGGAAGCTTGTTTTGCAGGACCCACCAGCAGAACCGGTTCCATGTTTGAGGACTGGAGGGTAATGGTCATGGCTCTTTTCTAATGAACAAATCTCATGGCGGCTTCACTATGCACAACCAAATCGTTGGGCTCGGGACCCTGAAATGCGCCCACAGTTTCATAATGGCCTTCACTTATTGTGCAAGTATAAATATATGAGGGTTTCTCAAAATGTTAAACCCCCTGTTGGTTGGTATCTAATGGTAAAGCAAAGAAAGGAAAACCAACCGTTTTAGGGGCCACTGTTTTGAGACGTTCCCATATGACCATACATGCAGCCCTTCAAGAAATCCACGCTTACACCTACCGAAAAGATCCCAATATATCCCAATGTTGGGATGTTCAAAGGGTTTCCACCGCTTAAACCTGTGAGCGACCATGGAAGGCATGTTGTATCTGGCGGGTCCTCCGGTCAAGGGCCCAATGTTTGCAACCTCAAACTGTGAAGCAGAAAACCGACATGCTGGCACCGAGCGTCGCACTCCAGCATCCTCGGGGCCTGAGACCCCGAACCCCCCGCCTCCCCAGTAACCCCCGCGACCGCTGTATAACTCTTGCACACCATGTCTGGGAGAAATGAGGCCCTTGATTCGGGGTGTACCATCTTGTGGACAGGGACTGATGACTTCGGAATACCAATGCAAGTTTAGTCCCTAGCAATCTCTGGATCATGACACCAGGACTCCTTCCATATCGGTTTGACGAGCATGCTCGCATGAATCCAGGTGACGAGTCCCGCGGAAGCCAAATAATATGAAACCGAAAGGGGGAGCCGCAAAAAGTAGATTCTTCTGAAGACGAGGGTTTCTGGAGCTCCCGAATTACAAAAGGCGACGGATTCAGGGATCTCTTCATGCAAGACCCCCGACTGGCTAGAAGAAACATGGCAACTTCGGTATCGCAGAAAGGCTCATTTCCCACAATGATGCAAGGCGGGACGAGTGTTCACCTGGGAATTCTGCAATGCTAATTTGCTCAATTCCCAACTTGAAACTGTTTCTTGCCCACCCCTGTGACTTTGCGATTTCAATGGGGATGCTCTTCTCCAAGAAAATGTCAAATAATTTACACCAAATAATATGTTCCGACTATGCTTCCTATTTGGGTGTCATGTTTTAGGCAACATGGCGGTGTTCCTTCTGATTTCACTGCCAAAAAAGCACAGAACCATATTTAGCAAACCTTTACATGTCCCAACACCCCTCGGCTCCCTCGCGGAACCGGAGCTCGTAGTCCGCATACCACGCCTCAGTGCCTGAGGAGGGTACCTGGACGAGAGATCGAGGCAGGTGGCTGGCGCAAAGCGGGCGACTCGTTTGCTAGGGGACCTCCAAACAGGGCTGCCCGTTTTCAGATCCCCCGCTAAAAGAGTTTTTTTTTGTTTCTCTAAAAGGCTAAAAAGCTAAGGGGATGGCTGGGAGCCACCAAGCAAACTGGTTGCTTGCTTTTGGTTTCCCTTTGAAACCAACCAAATCGTGTTTGTTGTTGCAACCAAAGACACACCCTCCCCGTTGTCGGGGGTGGGTTTCAGGGGTCACTGGATATTCCCAAACCAAAAGTCGATCAATTTAACGGTGTCCCAAGGGACACGATCGCCACTTTTAGAGGTTCTCTTGAAAGGGAAATGGAGGAAAGCCTGTGTTTTGAAAACCATCAGGGTTGAAACAAGTTTGGCTGGTTGTGTAGCACAACCACACAACAGCCACATATTTTTTGGGGTGGTTGAAGCGGACCCCCAAGCTGGCGTTTGGTCCCATCAACCATGAAATGAAGGCCAAAAACCAGGCTTGGGTCCTAGCGGTTGAAGCGGAAAACCCTACGGAAAACCACCCAACAGCTATCAGCAGCCTTCGAATATGGGACACGGCAGTTCTTTGAGGGGCGCCGGTGGTTTGTTTCTCCATTGGCTTCTAGATGCTTCTAGCGTTCCCAGGTGAGGCTCTCGGGTTTGGGTGAAGTCTCATAGCTTTCTCTGGCTCCCTCGTTTTAGGACATCTGAGTCACAATCACAACCCGGTATTAAACTGGTCTGCCCAGAACCATGTAAAGAATTAAGAAGGCGGCCGCAACTATTTCTGGCTGTCACTGCCCCTTACTAACCTTCATCTACCCGGGTTTTGATTGTGGCTCATCTGCCCTGCGATCGCTGCGATAGGGAATGACCGTCTGGGTTTTGGGAATGAACCGGCGGATTCCCGTACAGGAAACCAAAGGGGATGGATTATAGGGATCGGACATTCCCTCATTTCCTGCTGAGAACCAGCAAGATGAACGAACCAGAAACAGCCCGGACGTGACACACCCCATGTTCAAAGTCCGCATCTTTGCCGGTGCTCCTGGCAGTTGGTGGTCAACATATCGGCCGCTTTTGGGACACTGCCGCCTTGCGCCACCTAAAGGGGACACCACCAAGGCCCTGCACCAGCCAAAAACCATCTTCGCGCAGGCACTCCCTTGGCTGGGATGTCTTTTTAGGGTATCTCGGTATCTCGTTTGGTTAAAGGGAAACCACCAGGAAACTGCTGGTGTACCCTATTTTAACACACCCATATTGCTGGGCTGTGCTCAGATCCCCTGCAAAAAGTGAATAACTTGTGGCTTAAATGGAAACCCAATGACCTTTCAACACCTAAAAACAACTAAAACACCTTTCCGGACCCGCATGCCTGGGAAGGACAGCTGATAGAAAAAGGGCCACCCCCCACCCCTCCTAAACATAGTACACTTTTACGGGGCCACCTCGAAAAACAAAACATAGTCTTAAAAAACAAAACACATCCCCCCAAAAATAAATAATACCAGGACTCGCCTCTCCACGGGCCCCAAACAAACCAAAAAGCCGCCCTTTGGCGGCCGCTTCTCGGCGCGCCGCGCCGGGCGGCGCCTCGCCGGCGGCCAGAATCCTCGGAGGCGAGATTTTGTCGCCCCAAGTTTTCCAATTTCTTGGGTGGGTCAACACCTGGGGGAAGGGTGTTTCTTTTTAGTGGTGGATGAGTCAACACCTGGAGGGAATGGGGGGGGGGGGGGGATTTTGGGACTTTCCCTACTGGTGGATGGGTCAAAGATCGAGTTTGTTACAACCTGGAGGAGGGGAGGGGGGGGGGGGGGGAGGGGGGGAGGGGGGTCAAACATCCAAGCGGGGGGGAGGAGGATGGGGGGCAGGTGAGGGGGGGAGGTGAGAATGGCAAAACCATTAAGTAAGACTTGAAGCCCCAGAGAAAGAAAGGAAAACCTGGGTGGGCTCGTATTCTATGCAAGCAGTGAGCTCGCCATAAAGTAGGCAGAGACATCTCCTTTGTGCCAATTTGAAATGAGAGTGGGTTGATGTTCAAAGGAGAACTTCAATTCCAGTTACTAGCTTTTTATCCTTAGATGCCTAGGTTGGCCAAGCAAAGTCAGCAGACACTCTTTGCCAAAATTGCCTTTCCAGGGACTCGGGGAGGTATGCGGTTGAGTGCTGTACCGCTCAAACAAGAATGCTCCGACCATACACGTTGCAAGCAAGCTAGCCACAAACTGCTGGATCCACCATCCCCCGCTGCAAGTAGCAAAACAGGTACAGGGGGTTGGGAATTTCCAGGGGAGCAAACCAACCAGCCACTACACAATCCATGGAAATTTACACCCCCAATCGCCGGTTCAACCCCCTTGCCCGCCCGACGGACTCACGCTTCATGCAGCTTACGCCCCCTTCTCCATTTGGGGAATCAACTGGGGAACATTGGCCGCCATCCCAAGTGCTTACGTCTTACATGCCTAAAAGGACTTGGTTCACCTTTTGGAACCTTGATGAAAGATGCACCATGGGAACTCCAAAAGCTCCACGGGATGCTTGTGGGCAAAAAGAACCACATATTCCCAGGGAGAATTGGAGAACTCCTGGAATTGGCAGTTCGTTGGGCGACCGCATCAACGGCCCCAGGCAAGACTTCGAATTAAGCCTAGGAATCCAGGATTCAGAAAAACCCATTGGTTCGGGCCACACTCCCCACAGAGATGCCCCTGTTGGGAATACACCCTCCCTTCGAAAGCGCCAACGGCCCATTTGCTTCTGTTCCAAGGGGTCCGCCTCGGGAGGAAATCAACATTAACCCGTGGGCGTCTTTGGAAAAAAGCCGCCCCGGTTTTTGCGAAATGGGAAAAGAAGGGGCCACCCGTGGGGGGAATCCCGCATGTGGAGGCGAACTCCTCTCTTATGGGTTGTGGTTGGCATCAGTCAAGAAGTCTGCTGTAAAGAGTCAATCATGGGATGGACTGATCAGTTTGAAACCCACGCAAGCAACCTGCTTGGCAGTCGGACACTTGAATCAAAAGCAGTCAGATTCCAGGCTTCAGATTTTGCCAGCAAACACGCCCCCAACAGGGTTGGTTTGAGTTTTGCCACAGCCGGCCATTTCAACATGGCTTTCCTGGCCCTGGATACGACGATTTAGCAGGCACCAAACAAAAGATACCCCAAAGATGGCAAAACAGACCCAGTGTTCACCATGTGGGGAGGCGCACGGGGAGCTGGGTGGTCCTGAGCGCAAGTAGCAGCGCGAGACCTCGGCAATGCATTCCGTGCGACATGTGCTTTGTGGAAATGGGTGGTTTAGCTGAGGGTATCCTGTTCACCTTGGTTTAGAGGGAAACCAAAGGAAAACAACTTTTTTGGGGGGCCAGCATGTTCTGACACATGGCCAAATGCAGTTTTATCTGGTTTCCCTTTCAAAAACGTCGAAAAGGGAGGCCTATTGTGAAAACCGCCCACCCACCCTCCCACCCACTCACCCACACGCACACGCACACGCACACGCACACGCACACGCACACGCACACGCACACGCACACGCACACGCACACGCACACGCACACGCACACGCACACGCGCACACACACACACACACCACACACACACACACCACACACACACACCACACACACACACACACACACACTTACACACACACTTACACACACACACACCCACACACACACACACACACGCACGCAACAGCCGAATTCAACCCGATCGTTTGACCCTCTCCAATGTTTGCTTTTGTCACCAGAAATACTCAGACTCAGTTGTGGCATCACGCTGCATATTGAACAGCAGCGCTGATACAAGATGTTGTGTGTGTGTGTGTGTGCCAGCGTGTATACATGCGCACCCATGCGCCTGCACTCGCCTGCATGCGCATGTGTACATGCATCTAGCAAAGCTATTGCATTTCCAGGTTGGGCAGAAATACGAAAGGGAAAGTGGCGTCGCAAAGGGCTGCCAACGTGGCAATTATTCAGCACGCTGCCCCACCCCCAAATAGGCACCCAAGAAAACTTCAAGCAACATCCTGCCTGGAGTTGGAACCCCAGTTCATCTTTCGCGGACGGATGACCCCAAGACCAACAGCGGAGAACTTCAGTGCGACAGCGACACCGCCCACTCCCGCGCCCGCACGGCGCGCTCACGGACAGAAACAAATGCGCGGCAGAAGCGCTCAAACCACGCTGCGGCTCGAGTGACACTGCGCCCCGCCAAAAAAGAAGTGCGCAGCCCCGACGAGATCAAGAAAACTAATTGAAGGAAAACCAACAAATGATGCCCTACCTGGAATCCCAAGTAGCCACTTTTTCCAGCCACTTTACCCACTAGTAGCGCATATGTTGGTCAAAGTAGTTGGAAAATACAGGCAACTGGGAAACTAGGTAAACTATTTGAAGGAAAACCAACACATAATGTCCTACATATGTATATATATGCATATATATATATCCGCCGACATTGCCCGGCGTGTCGGACACCTAAGAGAGGATAGAGGATAACCCCCCCCCTAACCCCCCCCCGCCCGACGTCTGATACGTGGGGGGGGGGGGCCCCAAGGACCGCGCGGCAATTTGATGACGTTCCACTAAACGTAGTCTTCGGGGAGCCGGTGTCGCAAAACAGGGGTCCCAGGCTCGATTCCCCCTGCCGGCTCTTTGCTGGTTTGGGGTTCCTGCCTCCTTTTGCAGAAAATCTGGAAAAACTCTGTGTTTTTGGACGTCCTAATTGTGAAAACGCTGGAAAACCCGTGTTTTTTGCTGGAAATATTGGGGAGCAGAGGGGAAATGCAAGGAAGTGCAAGTGAAATGAGGGGAGGAAATAGGAAGTCGACATGACAGGAAAGCAGCGGGACATGAAAGGGAAACAAAGGGGAACTGAAAGGGACATGCAAGGGACAGAAATGAAAACAAGGGGAGTGCAGGGGGAAGGAGAGGAAACAAAGCACAAGGAAACCAAGCACGACGGGAGATGTAGGGAAATGACTCGCAACGAAAGAACGGGACATACATGGCAAATGAAGCGGACATACCGAGAAAATGTCAGGGACATGAAGGGGGGGCTGAATGGCATGGAAGGGACAGGACCAGGACATCATGGGAAACGTGACAAGGACATGAAGGGGGAAAGCCAGTAGTGAGATGACAGTTCAGGGTCATGCAGGGGCAGTGCCCGGACATCGAGGCAACTCGGGGGGGGACGTGACGCTGCAATGCAGAGAGAGAGAGAGAGACAGAGAGAGAGAGAGAGAGAGAGAGAAAGCGAGCGAGAGAGAGAGAGAGAGAGGGAGAGAGCGGGAGAGAGACAGAGAGAGAGACAGAAAGAGAGAGAGAGAGACAGAGCCACAGACAGAGCCAGAATCAGAGAAACAGAGAAAGAGACAGACAGAGAGAGAGACAGCGAGAGAGAGAAAGACGGAGACTGAGAAAGAGAGACACAGAAAGACAGAGAGAGAGAGAGAGAGAAAGAGAAAGAGAAAGAGAAAGAGCGAGAAAGTGAGAGAGTAGAGAGGTTCGAATTAGGGTGCCCTTTTTCTGTAGAGGGGCGTGGACAGGAAGGAGACAGGGAGACAGAAAGAGACAGAGAAACAGAGACAGCGAGAGAGAGAGAGAGTGGGAGATTGAGGAGAGAGAGGCTTGGGGGGATGGGGAGAATGGGGAGCAGAGGGAGGGAGAGAGGACGACAGAACGCACGAGGGAGACAAGGGAGAGGGAAGAAGGAGAAAAGGGAGAGGACAATGTCGGCGGACTGAGCCGGAGGCTCTAAAGTATATATATATATATATCCCTACAAATGATGCCCTCTATATATATATATATACTCTCCGCACGAAGCCCAACCAAAAAGAGACAAACGAGGACAAGCTCCTACCTGGGAAGGTTCGATGATCTCACTGTTCACTGTGCGGCAAAACGATCAGTGCGCGGGATTCGATTCCAAACTGACCCCTAGGGTTCAAACCGCCATTAACACAATGGGGGTTAATATATCCACCAGTTTTTACCTAAGGATTGTCATCCAAATGGGTCCTGGCCATTCTTTTCATGGGGGTTGAACCCTAGGGTGACCAATCAAAGCGCAGAGAAGCGGTTGGCCATGCAGCTCACAAGCATCCACTGAGTCCATTACTTCTTGAGGAACCCTTCGAAACCAAACGCCAAATGCCTGCCACCCCCCAACTGCAGTTAGAATAAGGATACCCTTTTGTTTGTAGTCTACTTTGGTACGTAGGGGAACCCTCCCCCCAAAAAAGTTGGTAGAAGGGCACTACTGGGGGACCTAGCTAACTGTCCAAAATGCAGTCGGTACCTTCCCCATTCTTTCCAGGGATCCTTTTTTTCCAGGAAACCATCAAACACCGAAACAGATCCGGTTTTTGAAAAGAACGATGGTTGAAAAGAAGGGAATAGGAATCAACCCCTAGAAAACTGGCAATCGCTGGTTTGTTGTTGGTTTCAAAGGTTCGCGTTGGTGTCCTTTTGGCTTTACCACAGTTGTTGGCTTACTGGTTCTAGACCTTTGGGTTGCTTGGTTTAACGGTGAACCAACCGGAAAACCGGTTAAGCCATTTAACCATAATCAACCATCGAGGTGGTTTGCCAGGATTTAACATCTGGTTTGGCGTCGGTTTTCCCTACCAGAACCCCAACAAATGCTAAGCCATTTAAGCCGTAGAATGATCCCTAGGTGGTGGCTCCCTACACCTTGCCATTGGCGAACTCCGCTCGCTAGCCCAGGCGGCCAGGCGCATTGGCCATGGCCAGCGGGCCAGTGGTTGGCTCGTCTTGTGACCGTCCCACGGTTGGCTCGTCTTTTTGTTGTAGAAACCCTTTGTGAGGTGCTTGTAAAAAGGGAAATCAACAAGGAAACATTTTTTTTGTGGGCAAACTTTTTGAGGCGGTTGTAAGAAGGGAAATCAAAAGGAAAACCATTTCGTGTGATCCTCTAGAGAAAGGCATAATTACCATGGCGGACACGGGGCGAAAGTTCGAGTCCTGGTAGCAAAGTCTTGTCCGCGAAAGCTTCTTTTTTGTTTCACACATGTAAGCCGCAGTCAAAGCTTTTGCCGTTCGCATTGAGGACACGGGACAAGAAGGTGAGTCCCTCTGCTTGTTCTGGATTTGTTTAGTGAGTCCCCCCATGCCCCTCCCAAATGGATCATAGACTTGCAACTTGTTTGAGCATACCTCATGTGATGTCTAACTCGCTGCAGCCTTGAGCGTCCATCAACTGTCGGCCACTCTGAGTCAGTGTCAAATCTCTCGTGCGGGAAAGCGCACAATGAATCCCCAAGTGTTGTGGAAAAATCAATGGCTTCTGTAAATGCCTTACGAAAGCTAACTCCTCTGGAGACCAACTACTTTCAACCCAACTGAAGCCAGACTTGGGCCCCGTTCTGGCCAGGTGCATGCTCCTTTTCGCCGTCCGGTCATTGTCTACATACTCAGCGGGAGACTTGTCCCGCGCGAGCAAGGGAGCTCGCCCATTGCCATGGACCGGCCAGAAGAACACATGACGCATCCAGAAAAGGCTTACCATAGCAACACGTACTTTTGGGGATAGCTTGGTTATCCATGATGAAGGTATGTTACTACGTAGGGAACTCAATTCTTATTCCGGGTTTTCGAATCGCGGAATTATGAAGATTAAATTAGACAATTAAAACATGTAGAACTTACAGATGTCTGGCCTTTTCAGGCTGCCGTGGTTGTGTCATCCTTTTGAGGCGTATGGCGGGACTGGTTCTATTATTCTACGGGTGCGTCAGGCTTCGGGCCAAAGAAACCGGGGGTTCATGGCCGTCTCGCTTCAGAAAAAGAAGCAAACCATCGCCTGCGACGGGTTGTGGACATGAGCAGTGAGTCAAACTGAGTTCTCAATGGCTTTGTCTAGGGGAAGCCCTCATATCCCTTTTCAACAACCCCACAGAGGAAAAACAAGCCCACAAAAGGCATACCCATGCCCAGTGGTAACTTCCCAATTGTTTGCAGGGATCCTGACTCCTAATACTACAGACAAACCACATGGAAGAGGGTTATGGTTGAAAAGAATGAACATCAACCCCCAGAGTGCACGTCCCGTTTCAACATCACCCCACTCAATGGACGCCTCTGTTCAGCATGGCCGAAAAGCGATGTTTGAACTCCCCCCCAAAATGGTGAATCTCAGGCATGACTTTTTGCGACAATCAGAATGGTTCGGCTGGGCCACCAAAGTGCACCAATCAGTAGGTGGACGGTGGGTGGGCGGGTCCGGGTGAATCTTGGCTTGTGGCATCCAACAAAACGCTTTGGGCATCCTTGCTCTCAGAAGCCAAATGCGTATGAAGAGGATTAAAACATTTTGTAGATGGTGGCAATGAACCCCGGAAAAAAGAGAACTTGATTCTTGCCGTCCTTCATCGCCTCCGACATCTCTGGCTTGAGCCAAGTCCCAGGAAAACTCCTCCGCCACAGACTCCCTCCACGTGCTTGCTTGTGCTTTACCCATCTTGGCAACTCATGCCTTTTTATTTTATATTTTTCGGGGACACCCCACACTGGGTTTCCTGTTGGTTGCCCTTAACCCCGCCACCCACGGGTATACCGTTGCTCCCAAAGAGAACGCGAGCAGCCCCCATGTGTCATGTCAACCCTCGGGCATCTCCGCCTCCAGTCGGAGGCCTGGCAGGACAGAAAGCAAACAATTTGGGCGAAACCAGGTCCAGTAGAGAGGTTCGAATAAGTTGGTACCTAGATCCCCAGGGCCTTTATTTTTTTCCACCGACTTTGACCCAATTTACGGGCTACTAGTGGGTAGAGTGGCTGGAAAAAAGTGGCTAATTATGGGTTCCAGGTACCAGCTTTTTTTCTGTAGTCTATTTTTAGTAGGGGAACCCTCCCAACCAAAAAACGGGTGAGAAAGGGCACTACTGGGGGACCTGGAAGAAGAACTGCAGTTGCAAGCCTTCTCCCTTTCTCTGTCTCGCTTTTTCTCTCTCTCTCTCTCTCTCTCGCCCTCCCTCCCTCCAGCCCACGAAAGTGCAGAACACAGAGCGCGGCGCAGGGGAGAAGTCTTTGGCAACCAGCAACTGGCGTGGCCCAGTTGTTCTTTGCATCTTCGTTGTTCTGCGAGTACCCTTGGGTTTTGATCAAGATGGGTTTTGATCAAGAGTCTCGTGTCCGCAAAGCAGACACCTGCATTGGTCGCTCGTGTTTTTATGGGTTTTCGGCGGAAAAAGCCAAACAGATCTCACCCCATTTTGTGAGAACTGGTTAAAAAATAGTTTGCCTAAGCCTTTGGCGCAGGACCTCTTAGGAACTCACCGGAACGTCCTTCCCATGTACGAAGGCCGCGGCATCTCAAAACATCTCAAAACCAGGCCCTCAGTGGCCAGTCCTTTTTGGGGCAAGGACCATGGACCCCATTCGAGCCATCCCGTTTGGGCCGAAAAGGACGGCTCTGAGACTCGTCCGAGCCTGGGCCCGAGATGCTCCGCAAAAATGCAAAAAGGGAAACCATCCAAAACCGAAGGGAAAACCAAACGCTAAACGCTGGGGTTCAGTTGCCACCCTTAAAACGAGGCGGGTTCATATAACCACCATGGAAGGCAAAAGCCGAGGCTTGCAACCCAATCACTATATGGGTGTGGCTCAAAATTGAACAGGGGGGGGGGGGGCAAACCGAAGGTTTTGGTCCATGTTTCCACTTCCCAGGGTTCCATGTTGGTACCGGTTTTTTGAGCCACAGCCATATGCATCCTCTGCTCGGTGCCCTGGCCATGGGTCATCATAGCATCTGTCCAAATCGGGGGATAGTGTCCAAAATGTGAAACTCAGGAACTGCTCAAGTCCCATTTGCTCAAGTCCCCTGGAAAAAAGGAGAAACGTAGTGATAGATTCCCTTTAAAACCAACAGGGGGAAATAAACAATATTCGTTTCAGCAAATGGAAGTTCTCATTGTTTGTCTTAAGCAAATGGAAAAAAATGCAAAAACCAACGGGTCTCTTGCAGCTGTACTTCAAGATGGTGTGCACCCGAGAGCGAGCCTAGGCACTGGCGAAAGGATTGGCGATCTCTTCGGTGCCATCGACCGGACAAATCAGCATCACCTCAGCATGCAGGTCGACATGTGCCAGTCCCGTGAAGGATGAGTCATTCTGATTTTGGAGGGATGCCCACCCAACAGCTAACATGGCAGTGCACAAACCCCAGTAGAAAAACTACTTTTCTCTTGGAAAGGGCCTTCTTGCACTTCCGTGTTAGTTGGTGGGAGGGTAAGTCCTTCTGGTTTTTGGAAACGAATTGTGTCAACACACACACACACACGGATATGTTGACTCAAAAATGTTTGTAAGCTTCCCACTTAAAGCGAGCTGAAGATCCTGTTGTTTTGTTGTCGTATTTGGAGGTCAAGTTGGGATTCGAGAGGTCAGCCTCCGAACGGGAAGTGAACTCCTTCGATAGATCTGAGCGCTGATGTTTGGGAACCTGGACTGGTGCCATGGGGTCAGAAAACTGTTGCCGCGGCTCGTTCTTCTTTGCACTCTCCATCCCAAAACCTCAAAGTAGCCAAACCGCCTTTGGGGCAAAGTTCACCAGGGCTCCTTAAAAGATACATGTTGCAACCATTTGAAACATGGCTTTTTCCACCAAAATCAAGGGACACCACCATTTACAAGGCAATGTTAGGATCCCTGTTCACGGGGTAGAACCTTAGCATTGGGTCCTCGGGTGCCATTCCCTCGCTCGGAACAACCCAAACGACTCGTGTGGGCGGCCCTTGGCCGAGATCGAAAATGGTGCAGGTTAGCCATTTGGTTGACAGGTTCAATAGTCCAACTCCAAAACAAGGGTGGCTCCCTACGGCCAAAGCCACAAACCTGGGTGTGCTAAAATTCAACAGCCCTGAAGTAAAAGGGCTACCAATAAAAGCATAGAGGTGTCCTTTCTGGGAAAATAGATGGCCCTGGTTGATTTAACCACCAAGTAAACCAGACCCCCTCTATTTTTCAACCAAATCAACCAAAAAGCACACCTATAGATGAAAGGAACCGAGCCTCCGTGGGGGAGATTAGTCGCAGCCCAACCCCCCCCCACCCCATTTGCCCAAAGAGCGCCAGGACGTCGCGATGAGCTGGGTCCCTCTCTGCCCCAAGCCCGATTCCATTTACAGCACCTGTAACAGTCAACCAAGCGCACCGCCTCTGAAAGAAAGCTGGCTAATTGCACACTGGCGATCTAGTTGGCTATCACAGAAAATGGCCCTAAACCCACAGACACAGTTGTGACCTACTCAACTGGCTTGCCAGTATAGTCGGAACCACACGCGTTCCACAGCGCCTTTGCAAATAAAGGGTGGTTCCTTTGGTTGCCTAGGTCAAGCTGAATGTACATAGAACCCCTGGTATGAACCCCTAGTTGATAGGTTAATTCACAGTTAACAGTGAGTTGTGGCAAAAAACATGGAAAATCAGGCCCCAAACTGGCCATATTCAGGCAGATGGGGGTCACTGGGTACTTGGCATGGGCCGGTCCTGAGCTCCAGGCTGAGGTGCCTCGAGCTACCACCAGTCCCAGGCTCCTCGTCTCGTCGGAGACCTGACTTGGGGGGTTGAACGTTCGACATGTCGGTACCCTGTTCAGCCAACAGCCCACGCAAAACCAAAGTACACGTGACACATGTGTTATGACACAAACGCCAATGACAGGGTAAACCAAAGAAAAAGAAACAGTGAGAGATATGTTTATCACACATACACCAATGTTTAGGGTCAAAGCAAAACACCAAAGTAGACCTGACACATGTGTTATGACACAAAA